TGGAATTTTATCTTTGAAACGCCACACTTTTCTTTGAAATCGCTTTATTAGTTCTCGTGCAATAAGCGTTTTTGTGAAGCTCTAAAAATTACAACTACAACATTTGAACATAGCCCCCATACCTTAAGGTAAGACGTATTCTACGTCAAAATTGTCTCAGTTTTTTTACCAATAGCCCAAAACAAAAATGTACAAATCTGTACCAATCGAGTGACACTGCCGAAAAATGTATGCAGTTAAAAAAAATCAAAAAATTTTCGCCAAAATTTCGAATTTATTAATAAGATTCTGAGTATGCATTTCGTAGCCCATGGAATCCTAGTGGTATACTTAAAGTGCAAATGGCTAAAAATTAAGATTGATTTTTTAGAATTTTTAAAAAAGCTCGAAATTTGTATAAAGGTTTGTTGAATTTTTTTTTAATATAGTAAAAGTTTGAAATTTGGTGTCAAAACACCTGCAACCACCCCCCTCCCCCCTAAATACGGCCTTGATCTTGCACATCTGAACAAAGAACAATATAAATTTTCGAGTGTAAAAAAGATAGCGAATTTTTTCTCTTTTCACCTGAACGTTTAATACCTGAGATCAACATTTTTTTTTGCTTTTAATTTAGAATTCATTACTTCGGCAGAATCTTAAGATAGTTTTGGATACCTTACCAAATTATTTAATGCTTCATTTGCGATGATTTTGGCTTTCTTTCGAAATCACTATTACTAGCAATGTTCAAGTTATTGAAGATTTCTTCGAAGTGTACTTCCTTTAAATTAGGTAAATTTAAACACTACTTATATAAGCGCAAAGGTTAAGGTGAATATGTAGATGAAAAGAATAAAGAAAAAGATAAAAATAAAAATAAAAGTAAAGGTAAACATAAAGAAACGAATATGAGGATGAAGATAACGACATATGAACTCGTCACACCTAGTTTTACTTACAAACGACACGATATCACATGACATGAGATCACATCACTTGACATAAAATGACACGACATGATATTATATGACATTAAATGGCATAACATCACGTGACATAACAAGATATGACATTACATCACATGATATGGCCCTACATGACTTCATATAGCATTTACATGAGATCACATCAAATCACATAAAATCGCAACGCATTACCTGACATCACATCACATAACATCTTATCACGTCATCACACCTCACATAATCAAGATGGATGGATATGCAGATGAAGAAAAGGATAAAGGCAAAGATGAAATTAAAAACGAAGATATGAAAGATAAAAGCAAAGATGAATATCAAGGTTTTTTTAGACACTTTTCTTTTATAAAGACAAATGGGATGCCGAATATGTATTTATCTCTTAAAATTTTTTTTTTAATTTTTTGCTTTCATTACCACATTACACCATAATACACCATAATTTTGGTTTTTTAATATTTCTAAAGGGAAGTGTTTTTATTCGATGAAAAAAAAACATTTGCTTTTAACTTTTTTTACAGAAATTATACGAATATATTTTCTTCATGTCAAATACTTTTTCTGTATGTATATACGGTTAATTGAGAATTTCATTGGCTTTTATTTGCCGTATTTAGTTTTACGATTGTTTAGTTAGTTCGCAAGATATACGTGATTATTTTCAGGACTGAAGATCGGTCCAGCTTTTAGAAATGTGGTCCGAATACATCAGAAAGTGAGATTAAAAGTAGAGCTGAAAGAAAGGTGAAATTAATGCAAGTTATTATCATGGCCTTATAACAAAAGACGAGAGTTAGAGGACATATTGGAACGTGTTCACGAGCAACGTTCATTATATCCTAACTGTACAAAGAAAATTTTCAATAAAGATTATTGAACCAAAATCTTACAGACTAGTCAAATATATAAATTTATCTACCTAATTTAGGTTTTGGGTCAGGTTTTTTTTTCAAAGGACTGTGAAATTTAAAGATATGATTAATTCAAAGAAATTATTTAAAAAAATCAGTGCAATGTAGAAAAACAATATGGGTAGCAAATGATGAATGACCATAATTAAAAAAAAAATATATTTGCGAATTTTCAAGGATATTTAAAGACACAATTTGCACAGTAAATTTTTCATACACATTCGTCGTTGTGCACCAAAAAATGTATTCTGTTATAATTCTACATTATTATTCTAAATTGCATTAAAACTTTTTAAATATTATTTTTGAAATAATCATATTTTTTACATTTCAAAGTCCTGACGTCGTAGAAAAAAACTAAGTACGGAGTTCTACCATAATTTACTCATAGTTTCGCGAATATATTCATTTTTTTATGTGTAAAATTTACTGCCGCACGGTGTAAATATGGGACAGCCTAATATATGTGTACCAGTGATGTTGCGAATATTTGCATTCGCATTCGTTATGCTAATGATTCGCAACATTTTACACATTCGCATTCGCATCAAACGATAAGAATGTTTTGCCAATACTAATGTGTGCATAGGCCGAGCAGCAAAATTAGTTTTTTTTTTTTAAATATAATATGCCCCTTTTGAACTTTGACTACCAAATTAAGACACCGTATAGGTTAAGCGTTCGTTTAATGTTCTAATAATTTACAAAATGTTTAAGTAATACAAAACGGTGACTTAAGTAGATTGTCTTTAGCTTTTTTAATATTATTCCTAACATTCGCATTCGCATTCGCATTGACATTGGCGAATGTGAAAAATACGACATTCGAAGCATCCCTAGTATATACATAAAATAGGTACATACCTATGTACATGCATGCGTTCGTTCAAATGTGCGCGTAATTCATTTCATCCAATTCATTTTTTGCTTACCTCAATACTAATTCTCCCTTCTTCGTTCTGTTGTTTCTCTCTTTTTCATTATTCAATTGACAGACGAGTCCATACTCTCCGAGGATCCCACACCAGCGGAAACTACACATCATTCAAGCGGTGGCTTAAGTGCCAGTGCGAGTGACAGCGGCGCGGGTGCCAGCATCGTTGCACATGGACATGATAAGCAACAGTCGACACTTCTCATATTGGCTGCCGTTGTGGCGATAGGCGCCGTCATTGTAACGTCAATTATAGTGGCGGGCATTGTAGTTGTGTGTAGGCATCGACCGCGGCCACCTGAACCGCAGGATGTGCGCAAAAGTATGCGGTAAGTATGGTCTGATGTAATAAGTAAGTATATGTACGTATGTATGTGTGCGAAGTTGGTAAATTAATTCTTTACACTGAATCAGCAGTATTAAGTAAATAGAAAATGAGTATGTGCATACATATATGTACTATATTTATGAATATACATAGTTAAACTTACTCAAATGTAGATGCGTACAATTTAAAGACTTACACGTTTTTCTCTCTAAGTATTTGAATAAAGTTTTGTAGAGAAAACAAAATGCTTTATATTATAGTTGAAACTTAAGAGAACTTTTTACTGCAATTAAGCTCTTGGTAAAACTTGGAAAAAAATGCTTTATTTCATAGAAGAAATGTTGAAAATAATTTATTTATTTAACAAATACTTAAAGTTAAGCTTTTAGTTAGGACTCAAACTTAGATATATATATGTTTCTTTCTACCTTAGAGCTAATTTGCGCACTTAAATGAAGCAAAGTTTCAAGCATATCATAATTAGTAAAATTTTTTCATAAATAAACTACTAGCAAGCAACATGCATTTCTCGCTTAAAACTGACAACCAAGTTTTCAGTAATTAAACTCGAATGAATCTGAGTCAGTGATAGTTTGGAATTTACTCACACACAATTATTCATACAAGCGCGTGTATGCACGCACATACCTAGTATAATTATAAACAAATATTAATTACCGCTGACTACTACTGCTCCACCAGATAGCTGCAGTTCAACTAAAATCAAGTTGACCAAACTAACCGCCAGCAAGGCGCATTGTGTACCTATCGTCGCCGTTGGCCAAATAAAATTTTGCAACTCTTGACGCCTCTTTAGCGCGTTCTCAAACAAGAACGAAACTCGTGTTTACACCACTTCTGAGCGAACTGCTCTCGAAAATAAATATCTTAACTGCAAGTAATTAGCAGCATTCACTTAAGCGCAAAACTTTATTATTCGCACAATTCCGCCTTCTTTGGTAGCCAGCCGCCCACAAGCACCCCAAACCGTATCAACTTCGTTCAGAGTCGCACAGATCGACGCAAATTTACGCAAAACTTCTCACGTTTCACATTAACTACGCTCCAAATGGCAATGCCTACTTTGCTGCTTGTGCATTTGCGTACGCTGACTTATCGCCTCTGTGCGACGCGGCAGTTGGCCTGCCACCAAGGATATAAACAAATATGTATATAGTTACTAACTTTAAAAGCTTTCTCCGCCAGTAACTGGATTGCTTGTTTCATTTGTTATAGCTAAGGTACACAGTATTGCAAATATCTTTTTTCTATTTTACAAGTTCTTCGCCTACTTAGTTTGTTTTCGCATTTTGCTTTTGTTCTTGTTTTGATGCAAAAAAAAACAAAAACAAACAAGTGAAAGTTTTGCGGAGCTCATGAAAAATTAAATTAATACACCACCTGTGCAGCCAGCAAGCAAGCACGGTTTACTTTGCGGTCAAACGAACCGGTTCAAGTGCGCAGGTGAGAAGTGCTTTCGGTGCACAAGAGTACATACAGACGTTTAGATAGCTGACTGTGCAAAAAAAAAAAATCTCTGTGGGCACACTGACCGCAAAGGCTATTTGTGCGAGGAAGGAAACGTTAATTACAAGTTATGCAGCAGGCTAGGACCAAAGTCTTAAAAGGAGTCTCCATTTGCATAAAAATTATGCGAAAATTATTTAGTTAGAAATTTATGGTTCCTTTTAAGTGTGCGAAAAGTGCGGACCAAGGCTATCTACATACAAGGCATGCAAACATAGGTGGCAATCAGAGATTTTTAAATTTTGCTTTTATTCGTTTTCTATGTACATATGCCTAAGTTTTGATGGAAAAATTGTGCGAAAGTGCTTAAGTGAGTGTATGAAAATCAAAAGTTTACACTTGAGTTACTCATACGCAGTGGAGTGTTTGTAGAGCTGCAGATTTTTTTAGAGGTAAATGTGCGAATAAATACTTGTATGAGCTAAAATATTTGCGAATAGTAAAGGAAATAATTAAAGGTGTGAAGTGATACTCGCATGAGGTAAAATATTTCGGTATATGTTCTCGTATGTGTATTTACACTGCAGGGAAAGCTACTAGTTGTTAACAAGAATACTACCAGTTTGCGTTTCAGCCCAACTACATTTTAAATGTTAGCAACCGATATTTTTAACATTGCGATGTCCTACGAGATGGCAATTGTCAGGCTACGCATCAACTTCTATTAGTAGAAATACTAGTAGCATCATACCAGTTGATGAGATAGTCAGCCAATTCACTTGCGGCGCTCCAACATTCGCAATGGCCGACAGAGCAAAGCACTCGCGTGGTTTGCCTGAGGTCCCTGGTTCAAGCCCTGGCGCAGGCAACATTTTTTTATCCGAGCTCACTTGTGCACAACGCATAACAGTTGTTTGTAACAGCCAAATCTAATCGAGATAGACATAGACAAATATATACATACATATGTGCTCAGAATGAAAAGAGAAATCGTCCATCAATCCTTCTGTCTGTCTGGGTACACGATAACTCGAGAAAAACTGTAGATATGTCCACGAAAGTTGATAGGTAAGTTTCCCTTTATCCAAGGTAGGTTGGGATTAAAAAGGGGAGACATAAGAAAATAACCAAGCCCACCTGCCATATAACGGTATTTCCGTAAATACTGGATCCAAATTGTTGAAAGTTGGTACGCGAAGTAGAATTTTGGCATAAAATAAGACAGTTAGGAAACTTCTTTTTTTTTTTAATGGGCGTAGCACCACCCCGCCAATAGACTCTTAATTGAGCTCGTTATGAGCATAAAAGCTTTAAAATAGGACTCCAACAAGAATGCTTAAATGATAAGAAGCCCCTGTGTTTCTTTCTTGTTAAGGTTCATCATTTATAAATGAAGTTTGGCAATCTTGCATGCAACATTTTTTATACAAAAAAAAGGGGAGACTTCTTCGTATCGGCGAAGATTACCTTTAAAGTATGTAAAATAACGTTACCATTTATGTACATAAAATGGAAATTAAATAATGTAAACTGGCGTCTCCTCATCAATGTCCAGCCGGTTGCTCTTCTATATTTTATTTTTTCCTTTCGTCATCGTCGGTGATAGCAAACTGGTGACAATCCTCCTTAAAAATATTTTCGGCAATAAACTTTCCTAAACCTCCGCAGCTTGATACCTATATTGCAATTAATCAATTTGTCTTATCAATTAAATTAAATTAAAACTTTCGAACAAGTAGCAATCTTCCACAAAAATATTTTCAGCTGTAAGTCTTTTCAAACCTCTTCATTTTAACAGCCATATTGGAATACTTAGTTTACCTTAACTGAAATTTTCAAACAGGTGGCAACTCTTTTTTTCTTTCTATATTTTAGGTTAGACTAATCGCTTTATTACGAATAACGGTTTTTATTTCTTTAGCTTACCTTTAGGAGGTAATGCAATCACAATGCTCAAAAACGGGAGATCGTATATTTATTGTAAATACATACATACATACATTTGTATCGAAGTCAGTAGCTCATGAATGCTAAGCACTTATAACAAATATTCTACACTAAAGCTGTATTACAAAGCAACAGCATCTCAAACTCAGCACAACCATAGCACTTTTCAAACAACTCAATTCACCCGACAATGCTTAGCTGGGCGTGAGCAAGTCATTAGATGGGTATTTATTTTCTGATGCAAACATTTAAGTTTTTCGCTCGGCTTGTGCAGCAATTAACTAGTTGGCCAGTATTTCAGCTGCTGAGTGGCTTTGTGTGAATTTCAATTAACTTAATCAATCTACAACAATACAAAATTGCTTATCGTTGATGTGCGGCAACTTTGTTATATGCGGGCGCTCGCGCCCACTACCACGTACGCCCTCGGGAACAAGTTTACACAGACATATTTAGTACATACGTATGTATGTACTACGAAGCATATAGAAAGATTTCAGTACATAAAGGCATACATATCTATGCAGTGGCTGAAACTAAAAAAAGTGCGCCCTGTCCACTTTCTGCGCCTCACCCTTTACACACAATGCACATTCAAATACTCAGTTGTGCGTTGATGGGTGGGTTAGTGGAAAAAAAGGAAAAAATACAAGTAAATACAAGTTGGGCGCACCATGTAATAGTAGTTACACGCAGATAAGCTCCACCATCCGAACTACATTCCTTTTGATGTGGACTTATGGTGCACTAAACTATACATACATATATGCCACGCTGTATTTGCTTCGCTCGGTCGTATCCATTGGATTATCTAATACCCGGTAATTATTTTAATTGGACTCATCAAAAGCATGGAAAAACGCATCAATTTAGATAGAAATCTCACTTGTCCGGTCACCAGTCCGGCTGTCTCTGATTTTCTATGCAGCCGTCTGTCTTGCAGCTGCCACAATCCACCTCTCCTGTGTGTGTACATCGCAGTGTTTGCTGCGTCTAGCAGGCATCCCAACATATTAGGGTTACCAACGGTGCAAAGCACCTGGTGTGGTGGCTCTTGTGGCAATGACGCAGCGTATGGGATGCCTAGCCCCTAAAGGTACAGTACATCTGCAGCGCAAACATTCATACCTACATACATACATATATAAGTATGTATATGTATGTATGTATGTCTTCTGCTGTAAGTGTGCTGCTGCGTATGCTTTTTGCTTTGTGTAGTTGCTGTGCAAAATAGCCGCAGTGCGCACCTCGGCCGCCGCGCCACCTACTCCTGCCAGCCAGCCGCACGAGCAGTAAATAATAACGACACCTTATTTTAGCTAAAATTAACTTTAAATTAAGCTAATCATAGCAGAGTGAAGAAGTGCCAGGTGATGATGATGATGATGAAGGGTGAATGCATGCAGATAAAATGAACAAAGGCCATAAGCAGCTGCGAAAGCAAAGGACGATGAAAAAAAAACAAGAAACAAAAAAAAAAAAACAGAACAAATTTGAAAGACAGTAAACAATATGACGCACTGATGAGGGTGAGACAAAAGCAAAGCCTAACAAGTTGTAAAGAAACTAAGTTAATTTGTACGGTTG